TCTCCTGTAGAAGAGTGGAAAAAACAAACCATAGACCCTGAAGGTTCAGGGTAGGCCTCTGCTGCGGAGTCCCCCAGCTTAAGGTACGCTGCGCTGCCTGTGGCTGGTTGCAGGCTCTTTTCACGGCCGCTAGTGAGGTTCAAGCTTTTGTTTAAGCGATGACGGGTCTTTGTAGGGCTTTGAGCTCCGGCTTAGCGTTTAAGGATTGAGGCTTACATAGGGTTTAAGTTTTAGAGGAAAGTTATAAGGGTTTTCAACATGCTTACAGTGTTTCAACACATTGCACACGTCTTGGCGCTCCGGATGAGGCTTGTGAGTCTAGCCGTTCATGCTAAAGGGTTCCGTTTAAAAAGCAACCGCACTGTGAAGTCAGCCCGAAAGCCTGAGTTATACTGCGGTCTTGAGGATTGAAAATATCTTGCTGGTTGCTGCCGGGACTACACTGCAAGTATATTATGAATTATTCCGACGCCCGAAGTAACCGACTTGCTGACTCCCCTAAACCCTAAACCCTTGAACCGCACACCGAAGAGCTCCGAAAACTGACCTCCTTGCTGACTGGAGGCGATTGCTGTAGCAGAGGTGCTGCTTCGGATCAATATCCTGATGGGAGGCCAAAAGGGGGGTTTAAGATTCTTGGGGTAGGGATTCCTTAATATGAACCCTATTATGGGAACCCTAATCCCTACTAAACCCCCATAAGCTAAAACCCCTTTCGGCCTCCTATGATATCCTCGCAAGGAGAAGTGGCTCAAGGCCCAGCTCCGCGTCTGGGGCTTTTGGATTGGGGTTTAGGGATTATTAGGGTTTGAGGGGGGTTTAAGGTTCAGGGTTAGGGTTGGGGTTAGGGTTAGGGTTCCAGTTTTGGGTTTTTGGGTTTCGGGTTTAAGGTTCAGGGTTCAGGGCTTAAGGTTCAGGGTTAGGGTATTAGGGTCTAGGGTTTTGGCTTCAGGGTGTGTCAACGTCGTGCGCGGCGGGCGCACATCTTTAGGAATGGAGGCGCACAAACTTATCTCGCGCTTGCGTCAGCATGTAGTTCCGCCCCAACCACCCAAACTATTCTCAGTGAGGGTTTCAAAGCCTTGTCAAGGGGAGCTTTCTTGCTTTCTGCTTCCCTTCGCAGTTCTCCATAAGATGAACATTTCACACCAAAACGTAGCTGAGATCCCCAAACCCGAAACCCTAAGCCCTGAACCCTAAACCCTGAACCCTAAATCTTAAACCCTAGGCCCTAAACCCTAATCCCGAAACCCTAAACCCTGAACCCTAAATCCTAAATCTTAAACCCTAAACCCTGAACCCTAAATCTTATACCCTAAACCCTAAACCGTGCTTGGTGTCGGGTTGTGCATCCGCACGGCCTGGCACGGAAAGCTACGCGGAAAAAGGCCTCTGGCGTGACCCTCTTGCGGTGACGGGGCAGAAACTTGAGCCCCACACTGGGTTTGGGTCTGGGTTCCCAGGGCTAACGGATTCCAGGGACTCGGCCCTACAGTAGAAGCCAGAAAGTTGGAATATCATCATCGTAACCCCTTTAAAGGTAAATTATAGGGGATCCTACCATTAATCCATATTCCAACTTTCTGGAGTTCCCTTTATTTGAAGAGCGACCTGCCCATTTCCAGAAAATGGGCCTCCAGGTTTTGAGGGCTTTCCCAAGCCTGCAGGGGGCCTCCTGGGTCGGTATTAGGGGGCGATCTGCCCAATCTGGAAATCTGGGGATTTCCGACAACGGGGACCCTAATATAGTACCCTAAATAGTAGGCTCCCTATTATAAAACCCCCAAAATAAGATACCGCCCCCCCCCCATTTTCGCAAACTCCCAAGTCACAAAAAGAATCAAGTTTTCTGTGCTGGGCGGTACCCTCCCTCACCGTTCCGTCGAGACACTCGGTCGCACCTCCGTCGAAGCCTTAAGTGCCCATGCACGTGGTCAGCCGCGCTCCCGGCAGAAGAAAATCGAACCCTCCCGGCCTAGAAGATCCAATCCCCCTTACACCCTTCAGCGAACCCTTAACGGAGCCCTCAAAGGAAGACCTATTGATCCCTTGAGGGAGGCCTTAAAAGAAACCTAAAGCATTTGAAGGGGCCCTTGAAGGAAACCCAAAAGCTCCCTTAAACGAGCCCCCCCCCCTAAGCCGAGGCCGAGGCAAGCGATGCTGTGTAGGCCTTCACTGCTTCCGCATAGCTGCCGGCCTTGAACTTGGCATTGCCTGGAACGGCTACAGTAGAAGCCAGAAAGTTGGAATATGATTCTCCTTCTATGGTAAATTATAAGGTATCCTACCCTGAAACCATATTCCAACTTTCTGGAGTTCCCTTTATGGAGTTTTGGGGTTCAGAGGTTTTTGGGGGTGGGGGCTTGGGAGTTAGGGGTTGAGGGGTCTTGGGGCTTTGGGTGTTTTGGGGCTTGGGCTTGTTTTGTGGGTTTTGGGCTTCAAAACAACAGGCCTACTTAAAGGCTCATGGGACTTAGTAAGTAAGGTTATAAGTAGGTTAAAATTAGAATAACCCCACTTAGGGGACTTATAACCCCAATTATAACCTATTTACTAAGTCCCATGATCCTTTAAGTACGTAGTCTACAAACGGATGCAGGAGCTCGTCTAGGCGGCTGTGTTCTCGGCACTGCGGTTGATGAGATAAATCCTGCCTTACCCATAATAAGGAATATACCATACTCCCCATAGTTTAGGGTCCTTAAGGTAATGCAGGATTTGTATCATCAACCGCGGTTTTTTTTGGGGGGATGCCAGCAAGATTCGGGCATTGTCTCGATTGGCACATTGTTGTTGCTGAGATTTGCAGCAAGTTTTCATATTCTTACCTCTAAGACAAGCACTATTAGTACTGGTATGAGTCTGATGTTTAACCTTCCTGGACCCTAAGGAACCTACCTTTTTGAGGACCTATATAAAGAAATCATATTAGGGAACCCTAAAAAGGTAGGTTCCTTAGGGTCCAGGTTATCGTTCATTTTTTGATAATCGAAGGGTTTTAGGGTTGGGGCTTCAGGCTCAGCGTGTAACAAACCATCTTTACATGTGGGGAGGCCGTTCTCGTCCTGTTTGCATGACCCCTATAGGGGTTTAGGGTTTAATTTAGGGTAGACGAAACCTGAAACCCTACACGCCCGAAAGCGCTTTCCTGAAGTCCTGAATCTGGATGCCTGTACCAAGAGCACGACCGCATTTCTGTTATCGACAAGTTTCAACTGCCGGGAAGAACCCGAGCTTGCCTTCTTAAAACTGCGCAACAACAGAGGTGTGCCCCGAAAACCCCCAAAACCTCAAGCCTTAACCCTAAACCCTTTGCCCCAGAAACCCTTGCCAAAACCATGCTCTAAACCCCTGCACCTTCAACCCCAACGCCCCTAAATCCCAAACGCAGTAAACCCCCGAACCCCCCGTTTACCGCGGCTTGGCTGCTATTAATGTAGGGGCCTTCATAATAATAATAACTAGAACAAGGTTTTGGGTCCCCGTATACTAGATTTCTTTTAAGGAACCCCCAAACTAGTAGTGGTAATTACTTACGCCCCTATATTAAATCCCTATAACACCCCTTATAGTACTCCTTATAGACCCCTGTAACAGGAACCCTTAAAGGGAACCCAGTTATTAAGGCATTATGTAGGCCTTCATCTTTCAACACCCCTTACAGTCATCCTTTTAGACTTTAACAGGAAACCTTAAAGTGACCCAATTATTGAGGTATTATGTGGGCCTTCATCTTTCAACGCGGTGGCACTCATGGTGTTGCGGCCACCCCGGGGTCCCGGGCGGCAGGAAAATCCCCACACGACGCTGGAGCCGAACGGCCGTTTGCGGGAGGCTTGATGTTTCGCATCGTAGGGCTTTGGGTTTAGGGTTTAGGGCTTTAGGGGTTTAGGGATTAGGGTTTAGGGTTTAGGGTTTAGGGTTTAGGGTTTAGGGCCTAGGGTTTAGGGTTTAGGCTTAGGGTTTAGGGTTTATAGGGTTTAGGGTTCAGGGTTAAGGGGCTTTAGAGTTTAGGGCCTGGGGTTTAGGGCCTAGGGTCGAGGAATTTGGGGCTCAGGGAATTAGAGCATGGAATTCGAGGAGTCGGGGAGTCTGGGATTTTAGTCTAGGATACCCAGTAACCTAAGAATAAAAAGGCCTCTCTTTTTGGTATTGGGTAACTTTATAAGGAACCTAGGACTACAAAAAGGGAATAAGGGTACTACTGGGCATCCTAGTAGTTTTCGGGCGGGAAAGCAATACTTTACTCTGAGGGTCCCAGAGACTCCAATATCTCTCAATTAAGGAATATACCTGAAATTATAGGAGGATCCCTAATATGACTTAAGGAATATTCCTTAATTAAGCGGTATTGGAGTCCATGGGGTGAAAGCTTCGAACGACATCGGCTTTAGTATTTAGGTTTCGTAAAGGATTCTGGCAGATCACAAGGTGATGCCCACCCGAGTTCTGACTCATGACATGACCCGTCACCGTGACCCGGCATATCCTTCTGATACTGATGACGACTGGTGAAAGGCTAGTGGACACCCATCTTGAAATAGAGAGTGCAGCTTCATCCCTGACCACTGCAGCACAGAGAGACCCTAAACCCTCATATAAGAACGGCCCAGCCAGCTGTACAGCTGCCTTCGTTTATATGTGATTTACATACAAGTGGGGTCCTTCATCAAGGGCTAACGGCTCTGCGAGGGCTCTATAAGACTTCTCCCAGCAAGGGGTTACAATTCAGCACCTTAACAATTAGAACGCGGCCTCGGGACATGTTCCACTGTACTTCGATTTGGGAACCTCAAGGACTACTGTTGATGATTTAAATCCTGCATTACCTTAAGGACCCTAAACTGTGGGACTAATGGCATATTCCTTACGATGGGTAATGCAGGATTTGTACCATCAACCGTAGGGTTTAGGGATTAGGGTTTCCAGTCCTGAAGCATTCAAGCAATCACCCCTGCGCACTTTGCTGCTGCCGGCTGCCGTTGGAAAAAAGGGCGCAGCTATGCCGAAGGTTGCACCTGCGGAGCAGCTTCGCGTATCTAGCAAGCCGGGCTCAAGCTTGCTAGCACAAAACCGACTGTGCAAGACCCGAACGGCAGCCACGATTCGAGGCCCTAAACTCTAAATGCCATTATCGCCGCAGACCCTGCCTAAATCCCAAAGCTGAGCTATTCTTCAATCCGGTGAAACTGCTTACAGTGGATTGCGGTGCTAGCATTGTACTTTCAGAAGCGTCTCCATTACAATGGCACCCAATCCCGTCCTAGCAACTTCGGAACTTTAAAAAGATCTAGCTTGTGGCGACCCTACAAAGCCATGCGCGATGCAAGAGCTTCTCGGCAAAAGCCGCATATATGGGGCTGCAGGACGGGGTTGGATTAAGAATTGTAAACCCTACCCAGGCCCCCAAAAGTAGGTAAGGCAGAAAACCTATAAAAGGCGATTATTCCACATACCTTTGGGGTCCAAGTAAACCCTAATACCAATACTTCTTGGTCCCCTGCATGCTGCATCTGCCTGAAATCTGAGTTAAGGCTCCTTTCTCAGGGCCTTCGAAAATCGTATACAAGCCCCGAAGCTCTTTAAAATCGCACATGAACCCAAAAGCCCGAACACCCCTGCAAGATACCCAAAGCAAGCTACAGTAGAAGCCAGAAAGTTGGAATATGATTATCCGAACCCCTCTAAGGTAAATTATAAGGTATCCTACCCTGAAACCATATTCCAACTTTCTGGAGTTCCCTTTACGGGATTGCCCCAACCCTCATGCCCTTCGACAAATCTTATAGAACACTTTTTCAAACCCAGAAAAACCTTGTAACTCCCACACGGGAGTTTCCGAAAATTAGAGTACCTGATTTTGGGCTCCTCATAATAAGGATCCTACTATTTGGGGGGCTATATTGTACTCCAACCCTCAACCCTAAACCCTGAACTTTATCTCCAAGCCCTAAACCCTCAACCCAAAACCCTAAATGCCTTTGGTCTCAAGCCTTGAGCCCTAAACCCCTAAACACTGAAACTGAAACTCCCCAGAAACTTCAATGTTCCCTTAATTAAGGAATTCACCTCAAATCATATTAGGGATCCTATGATAATTTAAGGTATATTCCTTAACTTAGGGATATTGGAGTCCCCTAAACCCTAAATCCTATAGATCCCTTATAGATCCCTTAAAGGAATCCCTAGGTCCCAGGTATATTCCTTAGTTAACGGATACTTAAAGGCTCGTGGGACTTAGTAAGTAAGGTTATAAGTAGGTTATAATTAGGATAACCCCACTTAGGGGACTTATAACCCCAACTATGACCTATTTACTAAGTCCCATGATCCTTTAAGTATTGGAGTCTCTGGGTCCGCGTGGGAGCCTCGGAGGCACGTTGCGCGAAGCGCAGCGCCGAGCGCCGCAGCGGGGAGTCACCTTTGAGCCTCGATTTGGCGTTTTTTTAGGGTTTAGGGTTTGGGGTTTGGGGTTTGGGGGTTTGGGGTTTGGGGCTTGGGGTTTAGGGTTTAGGGTTTAGGGGTTCTGTCAGGTTTTAGGGGTTTAGGGGGTTTAGGGTTTGGGTTTAGGCGTTTAGGGTTGTGGGTTTGGGGTCTGGGGGTTTGCGCTCTGGGTTTTGGGCTGACGGTTTCGGGCGGGGGATTTTGGGTTTAGGGCTTTATGCGCCAAAAGCCCAGGTATACTAGATGCATGTATGTTTGTTTTCACTTCTGTAGTTCTATCTACATGTATCCATTTACTTGTGTGTTTGTCTATTGGTGTTTCATACTTAACATTGAATAAGATGTTCTTCGTTCTTTGAAATATGAACTCAATTATGTACTCGTGTATTTTTTGGGATAATCACGTGTGTTAGTTGTGTTCACCTGTTCGTTTACTTGTTTGCATACTAAGATACTCAGTTACATACACCTTCTTGCTTGGGGGCCTGCTTGCCTGAATGTATACCCGCGTGCTTCCTTGTTGCTCCTTTGCATGCATGCGTGCTGGAGCGCTTGCGTGCCTGCTTGCTTGCCTGCCTGCCTGCCCGGTGCCTGCTTGCTGGCCTATGTACTTGACTGCTGATGTGTATGTAATGTGTGTATGTGCGTACTTACCTACTAGTAATGACAACAGCAGTGCCGCAGTAACACGTAGTAACCATACAAGGCAGCAGAGCAGTAGCAAAATCGACAAGAACACCAACAACTGCCTGGAAATAGGAGTGCTCACTGTAATATCCATTCTTTTCATCACTACTGTCACTCCACTTTTACCATTAGTGTCCAGGGTGTTGGGTTTCGGAAACTCATGGGAAAAACTGTGACTATGACTACAGTAGTATAGGGGCCTTAATAATTAGAATAGGGTTTTGGGGACAACTTTTGATAAGGAACCGCCAAAGCAGTTTCGGTAACCATATAGGCCCCGATGTTACAACACGTCGCAATGCTCTTTCCCGGCCGAAGGCGCTGGACTTGCGAAGGGGTGAGGTGGCCGAACTCTTCTAGGACCTGACAGGCGACGGCTTCTCCTTCTTCCGCTTTTGGGGATTATGGTTTAGGGTTTAGGGTATAGGGTTTAGGGGATTTAGTTGGGGATTAGGGAGGCTTGAGCTAGGCTTCGGGCTTAGGCACCGAGCCAGGATCCAGGGTCTGGGGTTTACGAAGTCGCGCTCGCGGCAATGATGATGCAGGGCTTCAACAGCGTCAGGATGCATGAATCGAGGCTCTGAAAGGGAGTCTTTCGAGTTGAACAGGCGCCCGACAAGAGACACTCGCTCTCCAGCTAGAGGGGCATCCCGTGGTTTACACGGGTGTTATGTGATGAAATGACTTTGCCAAGATTTGCAGTGGGCATGAAGGCTTTCCACGGATGCGCTCGTTGCTCAGAGCTTCGGGATGAGGGAGTTCAGGGATGATTACAGGGTAACACTCCGCTAACCCCGACAGTACACTCCTAGCCGGGGGGCCTTCCGGGCTGGAGCTTAGGGCTTAGGGCTTTGGGCTTAGGGGGTTTAGGGGGTTTAGGGGGTTTAGAGGGTTTAGGGGGTTTAGGGGGTTTAGGGGTTCAGGGTTAGGGGTTTAGAGTTTAGGACTTGGGTTTCGGGGCGCAGAGTTTGGGGTTGAGGGGCTTTCCGGAGGGCCCTTGATAGCGCTGTGTCACTGTGTCGTCTGCTGTCATCACGTAAATTGTTTTCATAAGTCCATTTTGTTGTTGAGGTATATTCAGGGGACTTTGCAAGGGTCTTGCAGGGCGCCTTACATCCTAAGGGCGTGCCGCCGGTAGATCCCACCCCTAAACCCTAAACCCCACATCGCCACCCTGAGCCCAAAATCCCAAAGCCCAAACCCGAAACCCAAAACTCAAAACCCTGAATTCGGAACCCAAAACCCTAACTTCGGAACCCAAAACCCTAAATGCGGAACCCAAAACCCTAAATGCGGAACCCAAACCCCTAAATTCGGAAGGCCTTCAGCAGATCCCACTGGAAGGAGAGCCGGCCAGGCTCCAAAGAGCCTCCTCCCCGCTGCGCGAGCTCGAAAAGCCTCGGCTTCTTTGGGAGTTCCGGAAATCAGGGGTGCCTGATTTTGGTGTCCTTGTATTAAGGATCCTACTATTTCGGGTGCTATATCAGGGTCCCTTATTTTCGGAAACTCCCAAATGGCATCATAATACTAGGGTTTAGGCTTTAGGGGTTTAGGGGTTTAGGAGTTTAGGGGTTCGAGGTTTAGGGTTCAGGGTTTAGGGTTTAAGCCCGAAGGTACTGCAAGGTGTTTTTCGGGTTCTTATTGCCCTAACCGGTAAATCCTAAACCCCAAACCCCACGTCCGGACCTACAAGCCTGATCGAGTCTCACGACTACCATCTGAGGCCTGCTCCCTGACTAAAAACCTGAGCACAAAAGGCGGTTAGGTTTGTAGGTTTTCGGGTTTAAGCTCTGCGGGGCTCTCTGGTCTGGCTGCCGTCGCTGACGGTTTAGAGGGGCTCAGGGCATAGCGGCAGCGCATTGAGAACTGTAGGGCTTAGGGCTTTTGGGGCATCAGGGCCGCTAAACCCGAAACCCTTCATCAGGGGTTTCGGGGCTCAGAGGTCTTGTGTCTTTAGCTTTTCAGGGCAACGAGATTAGTGGAACCTACATATCGTCTATGATGTCACACTTAAAGGCCCTAGGTACTCAGTAAGTACCTTCTAGGGAAGGTCAGAATTAGGATAACCCGACGTAGGGGACTTACAACCTCAACTGCCAGCTACTTTCAAAGTCCCGTAGGCCTTTGAAGCGACGCTCCACTGTGGGGTTTCGATCCGACTACGCTAGCCTTCCACTGCAACTGCTTAGCTACTTAGACACAAAGCCCCGCGCTCGAATCACTGCCCCGTTCGGCCCCTTGCTCGATCGGCAGCGAAACCCTAAACCACAGACTCTCTTGTGTAGACCGCCCTTGTTAAACCCGATACCTTGAAATCCCGACAGTGACAAAGAACAACGAAACCCTGAACCCAAACTCCGAAACGAAACCTAAACACAAACCCTCAAACCCAAACCCTACAGTATCCTCATAGTAACCTTATGGCACCCTCGTAGAGCCCTTCTGGAAGCCTTATCCACACTTCATGTGCCCTTGTAAATCCAGCCGAATAAAGCCTTCGAAATTTGCTGCGGCAGCAACCCTAAACCCTGACCCCAGACCCAAAAGCACTCTTCTAGTTCTAAGAACCTGAAACCCCTAAACTTATAGCCTATATCTAAACCCTAAACCCTTATAGTAACCCCCCAAGAGCTTTGTGCCATAGCACATGGGGGCCTTAATAATTACGTATACCATTTTGGGGCTCCTTATTATAACTATAGTCAAATAGTCAAGTCTTTCTGCCGCAGCGACGTGGGCTCGTCCGGCCGCTTGGCCCGGTCGCTGGCCAGGGCCACGGGAGGCACGCAGTCGGCCGCCGCGGTCATGCTCTCCATCCTCGTGGCTTTAGAGAGCCCTTTAAGGGATCTCTAAGGGATCTTTAAGGGATCTATAAGGGATCTATAAGGGATCTCTAAGGGATCTTTAAGGGATCTATAAGGGATCTACAAGGATCTATAAGGGATCTATAAGGAATCTATAAGGATCTATAAGCGGTCATGCTCTCCATCCTCGTGTTCCCAGAGAGCCCAATACCCCTTAATTGAGGAATACCCTAGGGACCTCGGGGTTCCTTTAAGGGATCTATAAGGGATCCATCCTCGGATTGGGGGCTTCAAAGGGTTTTTGTTTAGGGTTCTCTGTCGGGTGTTCAGGGCTCTTGAAGTATCGTTTTAAGGGCTTTGCGAGGGATTCATAGGGTTTTCATGGGTGTTGGTGAGGCTTCTTCTTCGTAGGCTTTTGTCAGGATGTTTTAGGGATTCGTTCTCAAGGGGGAGACGGTAGCCGTGCATCTTAGAAGTGAGGGAACGGTGCTTAGGGTTTTGGGCGTACGGCTTGTGATCTATTTTGGGTTTTGGGCTTGGCGTTAAGGGCTTAGAGTCTATGGCTTTGCGGGTTTAGGGTTCAGGGTTTCAGGGTTTTGAGGGTGTCGGATTTGCGATTCAAGGGCCTTGGGGTGGTTGGGAGTTACGGGCTTTCGGATCGAGAGCTTTTGTTTCAGGGTTCTTTAACAAGAAGAGTTTGAGTTGAAGTGTCGGACACGGGGCTCAGGGCTCTGCTAGGATTTGCGGTTCAGGGATCATTGGGGTAGTTTGGGGCCTCAGCCTCAGGGTTGCAGTTTATGGGTTCGACTTCGAGATCTTCAAGGTCAGATATTAATGCTGCCAACTTCAACAATATTATTCATACGGTTTTTGGGGGCTAGGATCCAGCACAATGCTCGGGTTATCATATACGACTGACGCTTTGCTTATCAGATCTTAACTGCACATTTCGATAAGAGCTGTTCGTGTTGCACATTGAATCTGAACTGCCGCTGTTTTGCACAGGTCGGAGTTTTGGAGTCTTCTGGAACGATCGCGCCAGTTCATGGGGAGGGGGCTCATTCTTCAGGGTCAAGCCAAAGCCACTAAACCCTGCCTGCAACACCGAGCAGACTTTCTTATCTACCCTGCAGGGACCCTTGCGCTCTTAGTGCATACCCAAAGGTCTTGGCTGTACGCTCTGAAGTCAGATCAAGCGATTCACCAGTGGCGAAGCTTATCATTCTATAGCAGAACTCGTGGCAGTTATTGAGAAGCAGGTGATATGCTTCACCGTTGAGCGAATCGGCAAATTCCTTCAACTCATTTCTGGATTTGTTGACCTCAGGGTTGTCGTAGAGGCGCACCCAGCCCACGTAACCTGAATTTTCATACGTGGCATCTGAAGACACCTCCCATGTAGCATCTGCTGAGCTGCGGCTAATGCCAGAATCACTTGTGCCAGCCCCATGTACACCGATATCGTACACAAAGCCATCGATCATCACTGCCATGTGATACAAGGGTGCAATTGTCACAAAAGTCGACCATGAACGGACAAGCCATATGCCACGAGTGTGGTCCAAGGCAACTGATTGAACAAATTGAGCTATCTTGAGTGGCCACTGGAGGACACTGTCAACGGCGAAGATCACCATGTCGGCAGGAACAGCTACCTCCAGGATTCAGCACTGATCCGTGCGGCTGCGGGCAACAAGACTGCTACATTTGCAAACAACACATAGCAGCCACGTACCTGGACTTTGAGTAAAGGTCGCCTCGATGAGCTGGCTCGCGAAAAGACAGCGCACGGCAGCAACTTGCTGGTCAAGACTGGAACCCATGGACAGAAGGGTCACCCGACAGAAGCTGCACTACACCAACAGACATGAAACTCAAGTCTACAGCATCCAAACTTCACTTAGCATAAGCATGCACACATCGACATACACGTCAATGTATGTTGCGCATGTTGCACTTGTGTTTATGCAATTATGTATGTATGCATGCATATGCATGCATATATGTTTGTATACATATAGATGTATGCATGTAGGTTTGAATGTATGTACGCATGTATGCATGTATGCCTGTATGATATGTGCAGGTGGGTGCAAGAAATCATGAAAACATGAACCTACCTAAGTCTTCCATCAAGCGTCATCGTGTCTCGCTGCTCGTCGTGCCGCCGAAGCCAGCAGGTCCCTGACTGATGATGATGATGGTGATGATGATGATGATGGCGATGATAATGTGGTCATAACAAAGACGAGCAGGAATACAGAAACAGTCTTATGACGATTCGTCTCCTATGTCCTATTTTAAGAAGCTGGGATGTTGTGAGATCGTGCTTGCGTGTTTCACTCCATTTCTCTCACTACCACTACTAATGGTTTTCACAAGTTATGCTGGCATGGCATGTAATGGGCTTTTGGTCGGCGGTCCAACCTTGAAACTTCAGCATCTCCAGCTACAGCTGTGGTGCAGATCCAGAAACATGTTGGCCTAGGGAACTACCAAGATCGTTTTTTGGCCGCCTTGCCATGTGTGCAGGATGCTCACTGCATCAGCCGATTCTTATCACGGCCCGGTTTCTCTCGAACAGTGTCTCCCCTTCAGGTACCTTGTGCAATTGAGACTTACCGGCAAGAAATGCCCAGATGGTCAGTTCTCTGAGTCAGAAGCCCTTGTTGCATCCCCTGATAGGCACATCGCCGGCTTCAAACACCCTTTTATTGATCCTTTTACGGAAGCTTCCAGGCAGAACAGTCTCAGCAGACAATCATACTGACATGCCAACAGACGAGGCAGAACAAACGCTGTGCATCCTCTCGGAAGAAGAAGGAACATGGTGCTTCGAAGCAAGTACGACACCGAGATACGAGAAGCAGTATACAAAGCATGCATGCATACATACATACATACATGATGCATACATGCATGCATATCTACATATCTACATATCTCCATACATTACCTTCGGTTACATTGCATAAGTACAATTCTGGCATTAACTCATTCATAGGGTAATTCATTCAATCATTCGTTCCCAACCCTAACGTAAATCCCCAAAGGCCCTGGTTGCCGACCTCCAGTTCGGGAGGTCCAAAAGGACCAGAAGCGACAGGCCTGGAAAGTAAAGGCAAGGTTTGGGGCTGAGGGTGTAGAGTTTGGGGTTTAGGCCTTCACGGTTCACACTTTGGGATTTAAAGCGGCATTTTCGGTATACGTTTAGCAGCTTAGCACTAAGGCCCTACACAACACTATTCCGTTTCAATGCTACACTAACTAGCTAGTCATAAAGAGACCCCAGCTAGTTCTCAGAACAGGGCTGTGGGCTTAGGGCTCTTCGGGTTACAGTTGCGGAGATGCTCAGAGTGTAGGGTCTTTGGGGTTTGGGTTTTGATGCTGCTGAAAAAGAGTCTTCTAGCTTTCTATAACGCGGGGGTTGGGTGTTTTGGGGCGGGATTTGTGCGGTTAAGGGTTCAGGCTGTCGCATCCTGTGCCTACTCTTACTGTCTAAAACGAGCAGTTAAAAAACAAAAGAACTATACATATACACTTATATATATATATATATATCCAAATCTATTCTATTCGATTACATTACATTACTTTATATACATATATATGCTCACCCCCCCCCCATGACAGACCGTCGTGGGGAAGGGGAAGGGTGGCGTGCGTCCCCAGGCAGGATCTGTCAACGGATAGGCGACAGACACTTCTCCCAAACTCAATTCCAAAATGTTCTTTTAGATGGTTTGCAATTTTTGGAAATTTCTTCACACGCATGCAGCGCTCCTAGTCCCAATCTTAATCTCAATTCTGCTCTTCGTACCACTATTACTGTTTGTAGATCTTAATTCTTGTATCAGTGTTAGCATTAGTATTAGTTTTGTGGTAGTATTGATATTAGGATGTTTAGTATGAGTAATAGTATTCGAATTAGTATTACTCTTAGTATTAGCATTAAGTATGTGTATTGATGTTAATAGTAGTAGTCGTCGTACTAGCAATAGTTGTCGCACAGCAGTAGTAGTGGTAGCATTAGTATTGGTATTGGTATTAGTATTAGAATGAGTATTAGTATTAGTGACTAGTATGAGTATCAGTATTAGTTTTAGTATTAAGTATGTGTACTAGTAGTAGTAGTAGTAGTAGTAGTAGTCGTAGTAGTAGCAGTAGTAGTAGCAGCAGTAGTGGTGACATTAGTATTGGTATGAGTATGAGTATTAGAATTAGTAACTAGTATTAGTACTAGTATTAGTGTTAGGATTAATATGTATTGTTCTTGGTTCTATTCTTGCGAACGGACTGCGATGCCTTGTCAAGTTCTAAGGTGTCACTATAAGAGCTGTGAGCAAGACCGTGTAAAGTGCAAGAGAAGGGGGCACGCTACGCGTCCCTCGACTCTAGGGGGCATGCTACGCATCCCTCGTCTTTACCTTTCTATGTGACCGCCAACGCAACGTTTGGCTCAAGTCAATGCCCATAGCTAAGTGCTATATGTGTCTTCTATCCTGAGCAATCAGAGCTATCCCGTTGCACAGACGAACCGCCGCCGGCAGTGAGTGCAAAAGGAACGGCCGCCGGTTCTGCCTGCATAGGATCGCACGTGTGGAAGTAAGAGGGAGAGACAGGGTCCAGTCTGTGGAGAGTGCTAGCCAGCCACACCTACATTCATTACAGCTCTGGTGGGGAGAGCAGCAACCAAGTCGAGATCAATCCCCCACGCAGGTTATCAGCCGTACGCGGCTCTGCCTTTCTACAGCAACGACTACTTGATCTACTACGACCACAATGAACTCAGGATCAAGCCAAGATACGACAATGACTTTCGGTGCCGATGTGGCAGCGCCAGCCGTTGGTGAGTCAACAGCTGATGACACAGTGGTGCAATCCGTTGATAGCTCCACGGAAGATGACAAAGGTCAATCTTCTGCGCTTGCCATTGCAAAGGCAGTTCCCAAGGGGAAAGCAAAGAGTCTACCAAGAGCATCTACGCCTTCGCGTCCGACATC